TTTTTTTCTTTTTCTTGGTTTCGAAAAATGTATTTTAAACTTTTATGAAAACAATTCCTTTTATTGGTCAAATTCTTTTGTTTTCATTATTATTGGTTTTGATTTGATGAGAGGTTTGTGTTTATATAATCCTCCGTGTTTATTGGATGTTTATTCCCAAATCATATTTATCGGATGCTAGAATGATTATATGGGTTGGAACAAGCTTAAGAGCTTGATATATTGTTGTCTCTCTTGAAATTCTTTTGTCAAAGATTTTGTTTTGAATTGTTGCTTTGAATTCATTATATTTCACTTATATGATGATATTTATGTGTTTGTGCTTATGGATCATCTATTCGGGCCTTATAATGTATTCCATATGTGGTTTGATCAAATCCCACAAAGAAAATTCTCTTGATTGATCAAACATCTTTTTTGGATTTAAACTTTGATTTATGATTTTTTTTGGTTGATTTGTTTTCATTTAAAAAACTTTTTCATGTTTCTCATGTTCTATCTTTTGATTTCATAAATCTATTTTTAAACACTATGTTTTTAAAATTGTTAATGAGACACTATTTTCATTTTGACATATTTATATGTGTTCTCATTGTCTTTTTGTATGTGAGTTGTGTTTAGCATGTTTCTTGCTTGCTCACATATGTATGCCTTAGCATTCATTGCATATATTCATTAAGGCATTTTGATAGGGGGGGCAATCCTTATATCTTTCTATGTGTTATACTCATCCATGCATATTGATAGGGGGAGCTTTCGCTCTCTTCATCCCTTTGTCCCCTTTTTGATGTTGTCAAAGGGGGAGAAATATTGTGAGTATATTCTTTCTTGTTTATATGCATGTGAATTATAATTTATATATTCATTTCCTTTCATGCATATATCCTTTTGTAAATTGTTTGTCATCATCAAAAAGGGGGAGATTGTTGGCCTTCTTATTTTGATGATGTTTAACAAATAATTTACTCCTAATGTTGTTTGCCTAGTATTTGTATTTTCTATTTATTGTAGACAAACAACATTATTAGAGGATGGATGGAATCGAGCATTCACGATCATATCAAATGGAGGTTGGCGGAATTGTGGAGTGAAGCCTATATAATTCAAATTGAAGATCCAAGTTCTTGCTTTATCCGTAAGTGTACCAAGTTGAGCTACATCGAAGATCAATCAAGCTTGGTTATATTTAGTTTAGGTTTTATATTATGTGTGTTAGTACTTTAAGCTCAATCATATATACACTATATTATGTGTGTTAGTACTTTAAGCTCAATCATATATACACACACATATTTAGTTTTTATATATATAGTTATATATATATTTTATATATATAGTTATATATATACACAAGTTTTGGTTTATGGACTTAACAATTATTGTATACATATTGCATTAGGTGTATAAAATTATTTCATAGGGTTTTAAAATATTGTTTATGTCAAAACATCAAATTTCATGTATATCACATTTTTATGTTTTGGACACACTTGTAAAATACATGAGTTTTCACAAATGGGAAACTCAATTTGAGAAATTCTTTTTCTAACATGTTCAATTTTATGTTTATAAATGTTTTCCAAAGTTTTATCAATTTTGGAATTAATTTGTTATGTTTAATTGAATTTACAAAATCAAGTTTTTAATTAGCTAAAGTTCGTGCACATGTTCGTGCATGTTTTTACAAAACTGATGTGTTTTCACAATTGGGAATTGCAATTTAAAAAATTTCTTCGTTTACATGTTTATCATCGTATATATAAACATTTCCCCAAGTTTTACTATTTTTAGAGTTGTTTTGTTATTTTTAATTGAATTTACAAAACCGTATTTTCTGCAGTTTTTTTTTCAGAAACTGTATATCTGTGTTCAAACAGTTATTTCTCTCAACTGGAAAATAATATTTCAGAAATTCTTTCTCTAACAAGTTTATCTACATGTATAGAACCTTTCCTAAAAATTTCATTATTTTTGAAGTTGATTTACTATTTTTAATTGATTTTACAAAGTCATATACGCAAAATTCCAGAATCTGTCAAAAACAGAAACTATCTGTGAACAGTGCGGTCGACCACACTGTAGCACGGTCGACCGCCATTACTGTAGCAGCCAACCGTTGCACAGTAAGGGTAAGTTCTGTTTTTTGGTTTTTTAGTGGGTTTTTTAGGTTTTTTGAGTTGTTTTCTTCAAGCCTATATATACCCCTTTGTCATAACTATTTTCTACAACAAGAGAATGTTTTAAAGAAGTTTTAAAAGAGTTTTTGGTTTAAGTTTGTTTAAGAAGCTTTTAAGCATTTGGAAGTTTGAGTTTGTGAAATCAATTCCACAAGAGCTTGAGGAGATCATCTATTGAAGTTTGAGCTTCCAACTATTCTCCCTCCACCTCTTGATCTATTGAGAAGTTTTCTAAACTCTTATCTAGCTTTAAATTTGCTTGGTTATTTGATTATCATTCTTTAAAGCTAATTTTTATATTGAGTTTAGATTTGATTATATTATCTCATTGTTACACACACCCACATTGATCTTATTGTATTTATATTCATAGTATAATTTGGGGTTGTGGGTTTGTGACTAAGAGTTGTGCATAATTGAGTTCTCACCTTGTTTAGAGAACAATCATTTGATTTGTGAGCTTTAATTGTGAGATCATTTGTAATACACTTGTACACCGAGAGAAATGTGTGGCGAGAGTCGGGAATCGTCCCAAGAGGAGTGGCATCGGTTGAAGAACCTAGGGAGGGGTTGTATCCGAGCATTTGAGGGAGACACGTCTAGTTCAACACTTGAGAGGGTGTAGAGTGAGATTACAAGAGTGTGTTAGTTATAGAGTTTTCGGTAAACTAGAAAACCGTGTTGTGTGGTGTAAACGTTATTCGGGTGAATGTAGAAAACTCGGTTGTGATAGTGGAGATCCCCTCGAGGTGAGGAGCGGAGACGTAGGTCGTGGAGACTGAACTCCGTAATCATATCGTTTGTTTGTGATTGCATTGGCGCACTTATTTTTATGTTCATATCTTATATCGCCTTTGTTTGTTGCTTGTTGATTATATTGTCCACTATCTAGTTTAGATTGTTTACCCTTGTGTTAATTATATATCCTTGCATATATCTCATAGTATATCTCATTGCTAGGATATTTACATTTGTTCATATTACTTATTCTTGCTTGTAACATATTGTATATCTCTCTTGCAAGAATAATTTGTTAATTAGTTTTAATTGGTATAAAATCGGATTAGATTAGCATAAGACCCTAATCACCCCCCTCTAGGGTCTAACAGGAGCTATACTGCTGGAACCCCCGGCCTCGGGTTTGTCAAAAAACCTGGACGAAATCCTATTTTTCCTATCCCGATTGTGGTCAACATGAAGCCCCTCATTGGAGAACCATGTATACTCCATTACCCACTCAAGGTTGAATGAGCATGCGATCTCTTCTCCATCATTCCTATCGGTGAAGGCGAATTTTTTGCTTTTCTTGTCCCACTGACTCAAAATGTGCTCAAAGATGGGAAGATCGACACCAGGTGGGCCAAATTAGACGTAGTGTCTGAATACACTATCTTCGTAGGCCGCAAAATGCCTTGGCCCCATACGCATCACCAAATTCCGCATGAAGTCGTGATAGGCACTGAAGCTGGCGGTGGGCCGCAACGTAATAGTTGGCTTTGCCCCTTTTCTACAAAACAAAAACACAAGACAAGAGCTTTTTTGAGTATAATCAGTAAACATAACAACTATGCTGTAAACTTTACGGATAAACCAACAACCTTAACAACAACCCCATAACCTTAACAACAAAAACCTAACCTTAACAACCAAAGCCTAACATCAACAACCAAACAACAACCTCAACAATAAAAGCATGAACCTTGCATGTTAACAGTAATCTCAACAGCTAACAAACACCCGTAATTTTGGACATTCCCACCAGACTAGGAGCATTATCAATAAAACCATAACCTTAACATAAAACTTGCGGTAAAAATTACCTTTTGGGTGCTGCCACGTGCTTCTCTTTTTCTCCTCTCTGTAGACCAATGAGCGCTCTAGTGGCATCGTTGGACGCGCCGGTGGTGCCAGTGCTGCCCTCTAGACCTTCGCGAGGGCCTACACTTAAATTTTGAGGTGGGCTTCTGGGTTGAGAATGACTGGATGCGATGTCCGCTAGAACATCAGCAATCGCAGCTCCAGCTTCAGATTCAGTCCGCACTGCAGTTGTAGGGGCTCTTTCTGAGATTTCGAACCGCTGGGCGTCATCGCTTTCGCTGTGGTCGGCATTGAGGTTGGCTTTGGGGGTTGAATCGCCGACCATTTTGATCCCTTTGCTTTGATTCGGTTTGCGTTGGAGTCGGTTGATTTAGGGCTAGGGTTTTAAATTGGGTTTCTGGAGTCGGTTTGCTTGCAGAAGAGAGAGATGACAGGGTACGGACGAGGAGGTAACTCATAACTGGGAATTTTAAACGTAAGGGTATTTTGGGCATTTCATGAGGGGTTTAAACAGAGTTACGCCTGGGGATTCGTTTTGAGGTCTAATTAAATCTATTTGTGGGCACATATGTTACATCAGTGTGTGTTGCTATCTTTGTAGTTGACCCACATAAAATGATCAATCAGGTAATTAGACCAATGAGTATTTATATATGTCATAGGATAATTGTGCAGATATCAGATTGCATTCTAATTTAATGATGGGCTAAATTAGAAAACTGCAAGTCTATATAAAGGGGTTATGGTCCCTAATCTTAGGGTTGAGTTCTCATTCTCTTGTCCCCATCTAAAAAGAATTCTCAAGAGAGAACCCTCAAGTTTAGAAGATCCAAAACCCAAGTTTCAGATCCGTGCATATCATCACGAATTAAGGTATAGCTTCCGCTCTCATGTTAATCTCTTTGAATTAATCACGGTAATAAAATCCAACATACACCTGTAATCATCTCAAACAAACAAACATTAGTACAAAATAAAAGTTTGATATTACTCAAACAATAGATATTACAAAGATGTCCTCATAATTTATGCACTTAAAATGCAAATAAGCTTCTGTCATAGTTTACACCCTTTATTGCTATTTGTACATTGTCACGTTCCCCAAGTTACAACCATCGAATTGTACAATATCCAACATATAACATTACATCTCCACAATTTTATTTTCTCAATCACAACATTAAATACTGAAATATTCACTCAGACTTCTTCACAACAAGGACAGGACACTTCGCATTATGAACACAATAATTGCTCACGCTCCCCAAGAAAGCCCTGTTTCATCAAATAAGATCTGATAAATTATGAACAACAATACCCTCCACGGCACATTCATTTAAGTAGGAAATAATTAATGCATCGAATACAGTACTGCTTATTCAATATAGTATTGGTATAAAGGTTTTGTTAACAAGTGCCCTAAGAGTTATTAATTAGTATAATAAAGAAGTCATGAATCAAATTCATGACGTGTTTAATGCTTTCAACATATTACGTACGGACAAAATAGCCTATACTCTTCAGACCTATAACATTTTCTTATCCCAAATAAAAATAATAAAAACCTAGAAAGAAAGTTTTTAATAGATCTCAAAAAACTAATATTTTCTTAAAAATAATTTTTTTTAGAAAATTTAAATTTTCCAAATAAAAAGTTTGAAAAATAACGTACATAAAAGATAACACTTCCTAAAAATTAAAATATTCATTACGGGTCGTGACTTGGATCACCCTAATTTCTCTTTAGAAGATTATTCAGATGAGATAACAACGGAGATTGTCTGTGAAACTTCTATCAATCTCGAACTGAGGGACTTCTATCAATCTCGAACTGAGGGACTGGAGATTCTCATTCATCGATTATGTCTTATACGGCATATTACCCGATGATCCCAAAGAAGCGGTGGCCGTCAAACGGAAAGCCCTTCGATTCTACTATAATGCGGTTTCTCAAACTTTATATTGAAAACCACATGATGGAGTTTTGTTTCGCTACCTTTCGAGAAAAAAAACGCAAGAAGCTCTCAAAGAAGCTCATGACGGAATGTGTGGAGCTTATCAACCCAGAACTAAATTAGGGGAACTCCAAAGGCTTGGCTATTATTGGCCAAAAATATTTGTAGACGCTATTGATCATGCTAAACGATGTCATGAATGTCAGATCCATGGTGACTTCATCTATCAAGCATCAGGGAATCTGCATCCAACATCTCCATCTTGACCATTCGAGATGTGAGAAATAGATATCGTTGGACCCATCTCTCCGCCAACATCCAAAGTATATCGTTTTATCTTGGCAGTAACCGATTACTTCTCCAAGTGGGCAGAAACAATTCCTTTGAAAGAAGTCAAGACTTCAAACGTGATCAAATTCATCAAACATCACGTCATCTATCACTTCGACATACCAAGACAAATAGTCAAGGACAATGGAACTCAATTCGTCAGCCACGGTTTGCAGAGATTCTGTGTAAGTTCAGAATCCAAAGTGTCGTATCAACGGCATATTACCCACCACCTAATGGCCTTGCAGAAGCCTTCAAAAAAATCATTGTGAAGCTTCTTAAAAAGTTCGTTGGGACGAAAAACTTGGCGAATGTCTATGGGCTTATCGCACAACGATGAGAACCCCCAAAAAAGTTATTCCTTTCTCTTTGGTATACATACGGGTGTGAAGCTGTATTACCATTAAAAATTCAGATCGCATCTCTAAGAATTGCTCTTGCAACCGAGATGACTGATGAAGAACAATATCGACTACTCCTTCAAGAACTGGAAGCGTTAGATGATAAGCAACTTCAAGACCAACAACAGATCGAGTTATATCAAGCTCGGATTTCAAAAGCCTACAACAAAAAGGTCAAAGAAAGGATCTTCAAGAAAGGTGATCTTGTCTTAGCAGTCAGACGACTCGTGGTCATGAATATAAGACAAGAAATTTAATCCTAAATGGGAAGAACCCTTAGTGGTAGAGTCAGTTTACTCGAACGAAGCTTACCGTCTCATTAATCAGAAAGGCGATAGGCTCATGAGACCCTTTTTTCCTCCCTACTAAGTCTGAAAAGAAAAATTAAACTCGCTCAAGACTGGGGGTTGGTTACTTTGAATTCATTGAATTATGAGTAACAAATCTTTTGAGTTGTCATGTTCAAAAAAACACCTCTACCAACTACAAAATTCACAAAATATCGTCGAGTTAACATTACATTTCTGACGATTAACACCCCCACAGAGTTCGAATTCAGCTTGTCTCATTCTTAATACAGCAAGCCTTTTGAACTAAATCAACTTATTAAACTTCCCTAGCGAAATGATGAATGTATAAAGTTGCTTAAATCGCAACACCACATTGTCACGTTAACAAAACACACTTGACAATCAAATTACCGACTCTCTTCAATAGAGCAATAAGTCCTCAAACCTGATACGTTAACATTACACCTCTATCAGTTTGATTCAACCAATATGTTAACATTACACCTCTGTTAGTCCCTCCTTTTTGACATGTTAATATTACACCTCTGTCAAAACTCTCCAGTACTGTCGGTTAACTTCCTACCTCCGAACAGTACTAATCTTTCAAACCTAATACGTTAACATTACACCTCTATCAGTTTGATTCAACCGATTGGTTAACATTACACCTCTGTCGGTCATCTCTTTTGGCACGTTAATATTACCATTCTACCAAATATCTTTTCATTGTCATGTTAACAATACACCTCTAACAATCAACTTATCGACTCTCTTCAATAGAGCGATAAGTCCTCAAAAATCTCATCATGTTAACATTACATCTTTGACGATAAAATCAACTTATCGACTCTCTTCAATAGAGCGATAAGTCCTTAAAAAATCTCATCATATTAACATTACACCACTAATGATAAAATCAACTTATCGACTATCTCCAATAGAGAGATAAGTCCTCAAAAATCTCATCATGTTAACATTATACCTCTTATGATAAAATCAATTTATCAATCCTCCCCAATAGGATGATAGGTCTACAAATTACTGTTATATTAACATTACACCTCTAACGGTCAAACCTCGGTGAACCTGTTAATTCTTTTTCAACAGAATAGCAAGTGTTCATAAAAAAACTCAGTGGATTAAAATTTTCTGGAATTATCCTAGTGATACTAAAGAAAATTTCTGAATCTTACTTTAAGAGAAGTTCTGCTAAGTTAATATTACACCTCTGGCATCCTCAATCATTTTCATTGTTTTAAGTTAAAGCATAACACAGAAAAGAAACAATGGAAAACCAAAATATTATCACTTTTTATTCAAAATACAAAGAAGTGATATAAAATTGTTGTTTTGTTCTTGTCAAAAGAACGATACATGGTTAAGTTTGCGGGCCCATCGGCTTGATAGATGTGAGCCGGGACTCAACGTCTGAGATCTTTTCATGAGTAGCTCGTACCGTCGCCGTAGCTCATCTTCACTTGGCACCGCAGAAGCCACCTCCTTGAGTTCATCAAGGGCTTGCACCTCCTTACAGTGTTGTGCAAACACTTCTGCACCTCGGAGAGTAAGTCCCTTCACACAGCTTCTTCTCGGGCAAATTGGACTTCTCTCTGGGACAAAGCCTCTTGCATTTGAGCGATGGCCTCTCTCATCTGATCAATAAAGTCATGAGAAGCCCGCATTGCAGAAGCAACCAACTCTGACTAAACTTGATCATGTTGCTCCTGCAGAGAGGCGATGTCTGCTTCTTTTTCAGCTAGACTCTTCTGAATGGTTTCTTGCTTATGAGTTATTTTAGCTTGTAGCTTAACGAAAGCTTGTTCAGTTTCAGGTTCAAGATCCACACGTCCAAGGTCTTCCAGAGCTTTCAGATCCGCCTCTAAGCGAGAGATACTCTTTGTACAACGCTCGATGCATTAGGTGTCACCCAAACACCTGATGTTGTTCAGGTAGTTCATCAAAAAAGGTCTAAAAGCTTCAAAAGTGTTGTGACCAGTGCTAACGATGTTGATGTTCTGCTTCATCGCACCTTCCAGCTGTTCAATGAACCCGTTTAGCAAATCAGAAATGACCACCAGGCTCAATGAAGCAGTAGGAGATGGCCCTAAGACCCCCGGCGTCACAGGACTTGGTGATCTCGCTTGAGCTGAGCTTGAAGCACCTACATCCTGCACAGTTTTCAGAGAAATTACAAGTGGAGGTGGCCTCACTGGCGGAGGAGGAGTTGTTGCTCCGATTTCTGTAGCTGTCGGTGCCGAGGATCCTGCATATGAAAATCATTAGAACATGGAAGAAAAATTCATTAAATTTCAGATTGAGCAACGCTTACTTGCAGGAGAAATAATGGTATAAGAGGACGATTTGTCGGATGTGACCGCTGGTGGTTCATTAATACCAACGTCATCATCCAAGGAAGAAAAAGTCCCCTATGAGGTCCTCTCATCATCCTGTGCCGCAGAAGATTGAGGCGACGGTATGACAATAATTGATTTAGGAGCTAACCCCGTTGTCGGACTCGGCCTTATACCTCCCATCGTCGGCATCAGTGCAGAAGACGAAGGAGATTGACTTCCTTCAAGCTCGTCCAGCCCAGTTACCTTAGGCTCGCCTGCAAAGGGGCCTAACTTCTTTAGCTTGAGCAGATCCAGGCACGACTTCTTCCTGTATCGCCTCTGTGGTTGGGAGAATGGAGCCTGAAGCCTAGCCCGGAGCTATTGTATCAAGAGATTCCATCCCCACCCTCTTCTTCTGGCGGATGATAAGAAGAAGCTGCGCGTTTTAAAGCTGGGCCGGTAGAACAGAGTCTTCTTTGATGGAAAATCCCCGCAACAAACTCCTCCTCCTCCTTTTCTTTAATATGCACCATAGGGGCGGACTTGAAAGCGTCCTGCATCAATTTAGCTCTTTGTTGGGCCTGTTAAGCTTTGAAAGTCAGGGACGCAACTAACTTTCTGCGAACCCGCCTGTCCAAACGGCGCACTTCATCCTCAGTAAGAGCTCGCTTCCCTGCTACCCTCTCCTCTCGGGTTTCGGTCGTTCTGGCTCCTTCTTCTTAAGCTTCCTCTTTGGCTTCTGCCCCTTCATCCCAAACCGACGCTTGTTCGCAAAATAAATACTCATCAACTCATTTTAGAGGAGTCATCTTAGAGCCTCTTTTAGATTCATACATCTTTCTGATTTCTTTCAGACAAGATGTGTACATTTTATACTCAGGGATTTGAGAGGCGGCGTGGCACTAATTGCAGAAGCCTAAGGCAGTGCAAGAGTTAGGCGCCTTATAGGGGCAATCTGAATACAGT